GATTAAAAAAGTTTTGATTGTTTATCAGGAATTTTACGCATTCAAAAATATAAAGATTGTATACAGTTTGTATTTTGTGTTCTTTAAATAGCTCCCTGCAGCTTTCTTTTTTGCTAATTTTTAGGACTGTTCTAAGGCATCTTTTCTGTAGTTTTAATATTCTGTTTGCTCCTATTAAATTTCCCCATAATATTACACCATATCTTACTCGTGACCAGTGGCGGTTCCTCCATAAGAGCACATGTGCACGTGCACTCCCAAATTAATATCAAACAACTTTAAATTTAATTTTATCATTCTTCAAATTTTAACAATCTACCTGTAAAGTATTAATTTAAAAAATTAGTGGCCAAATGCGCCAGCAAAACAAACGCAACCGGCATTTATTATGAATTACAAATTATGTGCACCCCCAATATGTTATACCACGAGCCGCCACTGCAGTCGTGACTGCACATAGGCATGGAATGATGTTAGTGCCGCCCCAACACCAATATTCTCTCTCACTACTCTTAAAGCATAGCAGTATCTGCTCATTTGAGTTGCCACATCCTCAACATGAGCCTCCCAGTTTAGATTTTCATCAATTTTCACACCCAGTATCAGAGCCTCCTCCACTGCCTCCAGATGCTCCCCCTCATACTCTATACTTAGTTTGTCTGTGTTTTTTTTTTGGTCTGAATTCAATTATTTGTGTTTTATTTTTGTTTAACATTAAGTTGTTCGCTTCAAACCATTTTTCTAGAGTGGTCAGATCGTTTTTTATTTCAGTTTCGATTTGTTGTTTGTCTTCGCTTTGGTACAGAACTGTTTTGTCATCTGCGAAGAGTATTATGTTGTTTGTTAGTACATTTGTGATGTCGTTTGTGTATAGAATATATAAAAGTGGAGCCAGCACGGATCCCTGTGGAACCCCTTTTTCTATTGTTTTGAAGTTTGATCTGATTTTTTGACCATCACTAGTTGCTTCTTCCACACATTGTTGCCGTTTGTCCAAATATGATTGAAAGAGTTTGTTTTCGATATTCCTTATGCCACACATATCCAACTTTTTGAGCAAGATTTTGTGATCGACTGAGTCAAAAGCTTTTGACAGGTCTATGCTTACTGTTGCTGTAATTTTTTTATTGTTGAGGGATTCGATTACATGTTCAAGTATTTGGTAGATAGCTGTGATAGTTGATTTCCCTTTTCGGAAGCCATTTTGATTTTTGGTTAGGATGTTTTGGTTTTCCAGAAAATCAACTACTTGTTTGTGAATGACTTTTTCAAATATTTTGCTTATGTTGTTTAGTAAGGATATAGGGCGGTAGTTTTTTAACTCATTTTTTTCTCCTTTATTTTTGTAAAGTGGTCTGACAATAGAACATTTTAGTGCAGAAGGAAACACTCCAGTTTTAAATGCAAGGTTTGTTATATATGCTAGAGGCTCCGATATAGAAGTAGCAACTGCTTTTAGTACCTTGATTGGGATTTCATCAACTCCTACAGAGTTCTTATTTTTTAAGCTCAATATGATTTTTTCCACCCCCCTGGGGCTGATATTTTGAAAATAAAAATTTTCCTTATGCTTTTTTATGCTTTCTATGTTCTTGTCTGTGTTTCCATTGATATTGGGACATGCACTTAGAAAAAAATCATTTACGTGATTTAGAAAATCAGAGGATTGAGTTTGGTTGAAATTTTCAAAAATGTTTTTTTTCTTTAGTTTTGTTTTTGTGAATCTATTGATGGCATTCCAAGTTGCTTTTGTTTTATTTTCTGCGGAGTTTATTTCTTTGTTATGTGATAGCTTTTTTGCATTTGTTATGGTTTTTTTCAAGAGGTTTGAGTATTTTTTGTAATGTTTTTTACTCACCTGTCCAGTGAGGTAGAGTTCATATAGACTTCTTTTATGCTTTATTGAAGTTCTAATACCCTTTGTGATCCAGCTCTTACGTGTTCTTTTTTGGCCTTGTTTAGTCTTTACTGGAAATATTAAATTTAAATAATAGGAAAGAATGCCCACAAAAGTATCGTATGCAGAGTTGACACCCTCCCTCAAGTATACACCATCCCACGCGTAGCCTTCAAGTTCCTCTTTAAATTGTGCTATTTTGTTTCCTGAGAACGTCCTACCTGAAGATTTCGATCCTAATTTTCTGCAGAAATTGACAGTTTTTATGCTTATAATTTGCGCATGATGATCGCCTATACCATCTTTAATTACTTTATTGCTGGAGAATTCATTCATATTTACAAAGATGTTATCTATGCACGATTCTTTATATTGGTTTGGCCGTGTTATATCAAAAATTGTCTGTTTAAAGTTGAAAGTAGCTAGCAAATCAAGTACCATGTCTCTATTCCTGATTTCTTCCCTTGTTATTTTATTATTTTGTTTAATAAAATTAACATTGAAATCCCCCACCCATATTATTTTATATGTCTCAAATTTTTGCAAAAGTTTTTTTCAGAATGATGTCGAATATTTGATAAAAATGTTTAAATGATCCCAGACATGATCTATATATACAGCCTACTATTATCTTTCTTTCTTCACTTATCACTGCTGACATTTCAAAAGTTCCTTCAATGTTGTAGTTTTTAAAGAGTTCAAGTTCGTCAAAGTCGTTGATATCTTCTCTTGTAAATACACAGGTTCCTCCCCTACTGCTGTAGGTTCTTGCAAAGCACGATACAAGCTGGTAACCTTCGATCTTCGTGAAATCTACCTCCTGTGGCTTTATCCAATGTTCACTTATGCATAAAATATCCGGAGCATTTTCTAGGCTTTTGAAAAGTGCTTCGAGTTCAGATATTGATGTTTTCAAGCATTGAATGTTCTGATGGAAAATGTTTAAATCTGTATCTGATCCTTGATTGTCTCTTTGCAGAGGATTTGACTTTCGTTCAATTTTAGCCGTCGTAGGAGATATACATATGTCTGAGATATTCCTAGTACTGTGTTGACGAGTATGTTGGTCCCCATCCTGTATCATAATAGTGTTCTGTTGGTCGAAAAAAACAATACTTGTTTGGATATCTCGAGGGCTCTGGCCTGATTGGCGTTTGATTTTTTATATGTTTGTTGTTCATCCACATACTATCAGCATTTTCATTATTTACAACCCCATCCGATCCACAATCACCCTTTTCATAGTTTTCTGCATAGTGTTTTTGCGGAGTGAAGCTATGGAATAGTTTGGTTTTGTTTTGGATTTTCTTCGTTCCATTTATAGGAGTGGATAATCTGCATATTATGTTTGTAGCCTCAGATGGCTCTACGTAATCTGCTTTGCCTGATATTGGTCTTTGTAATGTAATATTTTGAAGTATGGTAATCTTGGGTTTATTGGAGAATGGTTGTCTGAGCTTTTCTAGGCGTTCCAGAATTTTTTTATTTTCTTTAACATAGCTGAGCTCTTCGTTGAGAGATGTTCCGAGATTTATCCGTCTTTGTTTGGTTTTTTGAAAAATATACTCCTCGCTGAGGTGCAGGAAAAGTTGTCTTCGACTGTTTGCATTCCAACATATGTCATATGACATTACGTACTGTGGAAATACAATTTTGGCAGCATCAATGAAATTTGCCTGAGTCGCTTCCAATGCTTTCTCTATTATAGCATTGTGATTTACTATAAACTGATTTAGAACTGGCCTATTTTTGCTTAAAGGACAGCCCACTATTATAAGATGTGTATGTAAAGTGTTGTTTACCACTTGCTGGAGCAGGTTGAGGTCAATATTACGATTTTTTAAAGCATTTTGCGGGCCACAGAACAATATTATTTTGTCATTTGAGTTAAGTTTTTTTGTCCAGCGCAAGGCGTCCTGCATCACATCATTGAATGTACAGTTTTTCAGATATTGGTTGTTTATATCAAAATTTTCATCTGTAAATTTCTTACTCCAATTTATGCTTCCCTTCAGAAAAGTATTTGAAATCAATAGTAGGTGGGGTTTTCCCTTGCGAGCAGAGATTTTCTCGGTATTTTGTGCTTGTGGTTCTTTGGGACTTGCTTTCCCGGGATCAGTCTGGGTTGATTTTGCAACTTGTATTTTTAGAAGGGCCATTGTCAGGAGCATTTCTTCCGCAATGTCGTCATCTATCTCTGTTTGTGTGTCGCATGTTTGCTGGGGACATGATTGTGTTGATGAAAATTGTGTCGATACTGTTTCTTTTGGATAAGGATCGGTTTGCATCATAATGTTTTTGTACTCTGTGCTAGTTGTTTGGCATGATCTTTCAACATAGTTGATTTTTTGCTTGCCTAATGTGGAAAGCTCTTTCTTTGTCTTATCCAAGTCCTGCTGAAGTAATAGAACTTGATTTTTGTAGTTTTCTATTCTGCAGTTTAAGCTCTGTTCCATATCAATAGCTTCAGATTTAAAATTTTCCCACTTTTGTTCTTGTTTCTTTATGAAATCATCTTTCTGTTCACCTCCGTTTCGAGTTCATAACAAAGGCTTTTTAGATTTTCTAAGTGTTTTACTTCTGTTAATCTTTCTTCGCCTTCCAGTTTACAGTTTAACGAGCAGTAGATTTTGTGTTTATCTACATGAGTCCAGTTACTCTGTCTTTCCCAGCAAGATTTATGTACTATCACAAAGCAATTTATGCAACAGTAAATTTTTATTTCTTGTTTCCTGTGGCATTTATAATTTCCAATATCCATGGTCTATTTACTTACATCAGCTGATCATCGAATATTGCGCATAAATAGCTGATTTGTTTTATTTGTCTTCGAACGCGTCTTTTGGCTGCGTTCCTTTATCCCATCGGCTGATCAAGTCGACGTTGCCTTGTTTTCATTATGCCTGTGCCAGCATGTATCATGTGAGGTTATGTTACCGAGAAAATTATTTTGAAATTTTCTTGTTTTTCCGCCAAATCCACTATCTACACTAAATTTTTTTTCTGTTTGTAGTCCGCCGATGATGTTTACGATATTTCCGAATACCTCGCACTTTGTTTCTGACTGTTTCTGACTGTTTTCGATTTTCTGTCGGTGAAAAATGTACTGTGCCGTGTGCCAAAAAAAAAAAACGTAACAGTATGTAGATTTGTACCGAATTTTATAATCAAAATCTGTAATTGAAAATAAAACATTCTGGTAGTCCCCATCGAAGATTACTTCTCATGATGAAATATTGATATCAATAGTTTGTGGTCAGTAAGGGTGGAATTTTTAAATGGAATAAATTCAGCATCAGAAAGCTTGTTTATTTTCTAGAGAAAATAAAAAAAACGGGTCCCTTTATTTTTAGTTTGGCACATTCTCTCGGCCTTCTCATGGAATTTACCCCTTTCTTAAGGGTAGAAACCACCCCCAACTTCGGTGATCTAGTTATGTAATTATTTTTGACGTTAATGCACTATTTTAAGATTGAGAATCCGAGTATCATCAAATAGTGTGTTAACGTCAGAAATAATTAGATAACGTTATAAATGGGGCTTGTTTTGCATTAGGGTTCTACCAAGAAAAAGTACTGAAGATATTCAACAATTCCAACTGTAAAAAAAAATTGTGTGGAAAAATACCTATATTTTTATTTTTTTCTCGTTTTCTAGATCACCCAAATGCAAAAGTAAATCATGAATCATTTTCATTTTTTTATGCCCATTCCAACGAGCTATCACAATACATATCTTTAGATTTGAAAAAAAAAGTTGGGGGTGGTTCTACCCTTAAAAAAGGGGTAAAATCCTTGAAAAGGCCGAGAAAATGTGCCAAACTAAAAATAAAGGGACCCGTTTTTTCATTTTCCCAATATTAAACAGGCTTTCTGATAATGAATTCCATTTAAAAATTCCACCCTGTAGGTATGTTGTAGCTTTCTAAGCAATTTGGCTATATATTTTTTTTTTTTGAAAAGTTTTTTAATTTTTTAATGTATAAATCCCCAAGATTCAAAATATTCCAAAAAAAGATTCAATTGAAATACTTTCTCTTTTGAAACATCCAATTTTTTTTTCATCGATTGCTATTGGTCAATATAGGTTATTCTTCCTCGTCTCCACCAACAATTATGCGATTTACCTTTATAACGTGAACTATTTTATTTCAGCATTCTATTTGACAGAAAAAACTTAGTACATAATTCTCACAAGTAATCACTTGAAGGTAATAGATTCAGAAATACGATAACACTATTGTGCTTTGTTATAGATTTATGTTATTAAGCTCCCAATTCACCAATAGATGCTCCCCAGAGTTTCCCCTGTTGATAAATAAAAAAATCGCGCTATTCTAAGGAGTAGTCCAAGCTACAGTTTGTGTAATATGGTTTGTATTTCAGGCCTGTTGGGAACGTTGGTATAAACGTCCACTAAGCGTATTCGCCGTCGCCTTTGAATGCGGACTGCCCGTAAAAATCATGTAATGGAAGATAAACAAGCGGTTATAACAGGAGGCAGCATGGAAACGTATGTCATCTTTGAACAGCAAGAAGCCGAAGGTCCTGTCTTCGTCATCATGAAATCCGGAGAATCCGAACTACTCAGCCCAAAATTATCACCTAGTTCCGACACGATAGATGTCAATAAAAACAAAAATCTAAATCTGGAATCAACTAACCAAACTCTTACCACAGTGAATGATAGGATGTATGTCGCAGGCTATAGTCCCAGTGCTACAAATACCCCGTTGCTCCTTTCATCGACGGTATCAGGTGAATTTGCTTACGGCCGTGCAAGTAAGGTTACTGGCTCTTTTGACTGTTCATCATCACTTCCTGTAGTAACATTATTACAACAAACGCCATCAAATACTAACCAGCATCAGTCAAAAAGTCAACAGCAACAAATGAATATCGAAAATAAGTTTCCTGGATCGATTAGTGTTCTATCAATCTCATCCGACGAAGAAGACATTAATACCAAAGAAATAGCTCAAAGAATTCTTGCAGAACTAAAAACATATGGCATTACGCAAGCAGTTTTTGCGAAACGTATTTTAGGCAGAACGCAAGGAACCCTTTCAGCTCTTTTACAAAATCCAAAACCCTGGTCAAAGTTAGACTTTGGCAAGGAAATATTTAGGACGATGTGGAGATGGCTACAGAAACCAGAAGGTCAGAAAATGTCCTTGTCACGAGCACAGGGCAATAAAACAAGTTGCAAACAAAAAGTCACCTACTGTACGAGCATTGAGGAACAGATGCCTACACCCAAGAAACGTCGGTTCATTTTTACAGACCTACAAAAGCGTGCTCTTCAGGCTATTTTCAAGGAAACCCAGCGTCCTTCAAAAGAACTACAAGAAACCGCTGCGATGCAGCTGGGTTTAGAACCAGAGATCGTCCAAAATTTCTTCATGAACGCGCGAAGGCGTAAATGGAAAAATGAAGAACGGCAATCAGCGCCGATGCGTGAAATGTCGCCAAAAATGGAGGATGATTCAGGTGAAGACGAACGGCTGATGGAATGAGGTATGTAAAGTTTTCAAATTCAAGGAATCGTTATGTCAGTAATTACGTCAGTTTTCATCAGCTTAATTTTTTTATCTTTTGGTAACACATTTATTAATATAAAGTTTTTCCGTCAAACAACTTGGAGTCAATCCGTTTTTCAGTTCATGTAGTTTCTGCACTTGTACTTGTAAGATCATTTCCAAAGTTTCACTGGACATTAGTCATCCTTTTATATTTTCTGCCTAATCTTTCTTACTTCTAGTACATAATATTTATAATTAAATGATTCCTACTATGTATCTCAGAATTTTTAATAATTCAAACTATGTAGTGGTCACTGATTCATGGCGTATCCAACACCTTATGTACCGCACCGTTGCCGACATCATCAACGGTGTCGTTAGCGGTTTGCGCCAGCGGTCGCTACATCTTTAAGATCGATGAGAAAAGGCAAATTTATATTTTACCAGCCAGAACAATTTGGTCCAAACCATGTTCCCCTACCTTATTTTTTGCAATTTAGTTGAATAGACACCCTTCGGCAACCAGTTTGTATCAAAATTCCCCAATAGGCATAAAAAAAATTATATCTCTTTTGCGACCATACATTCACTAATCACTTATCACTTTTACCTAATTTTATACAACAACTGCCATGATTGATGACAACCCCTATACGTTTCGTCCTGAGACGTCACAACAGGAGCTTGACCTGGGGGCGTAGTTGGGGTTCAGATAGAGAGAAACTCACTTGGAATAGATACAATGAGATAAATATATAGAATAATATTACCCTACGAATAATACCATGACGTCTCTTCTACGGAGAGACGTACTATAGGCCACTCTGTTTTATGTACACTTTGTACACTTGGCATGACTGAAGATTGAAGCTGGGTTTGAGATAGGTCCAGAAGGGCGTTTCCCAATAAATTTAGTTTGCACTTGACCTAGTCTGCTACGTTCAATACTCCCAGAAGTGCGTTTCCCATTAAAGGTAGTTTGCACTGGGAGGAGAGTCAGCTAGAGAGGCTTTTCCCAATTAAGGTACTTTGCACTAGCTTTAGTCTCCCGAATGGATCTCGGCGCGGTATTTATACCAACTTAATGCTGACTCGTCGAAATACTTTAATAAATTTGATGTACCATCGTCACCAAAAGTAACTGGGACAGCATCACCTTAGCCCTTGTCCTATTATATGAATTTTATTGTCAAATATTTGTCAAACTATGCATTGAAATGAATGACAGTAGAATTAGTCCAGGAGATTATTATGCATTATTTGTGTCCCAGATACTTTTGGTGACGATGGTACCTACAGAGTGGTATTTACTCAAGTAGTTGACATAATATGCCCCCCTCTGAAAAGCATTGGTCCCCAATGCTTGTAAAAGAAACATCATAAATAAAATAAAATATGACAAGATACCTAATAGAATACGATAAAACACAATAAATTACGATACAATAAAATAATAGTATGTGTATTTAGGTGGAAAAGTGACACATTCTCGGCAGACGGTGTAAGTTGACGTAGCCGAAGCCGCCAAACACCGATGGCCGAGAATGTGCTTTTCCACCGAAATACACATACTATTTTTTCTGAGATCGGTTAAATATCTGTTAAACGTTTGTATTTTTGTTCCAATTGTTCAGCAGTACGAGAATCACTTTCCCGGCCTAGGCCGGAAAAGTGATTCTCGTATTGTTATTCATTGATTCCTTAGCAACTATTGAAACATAATAAATACCAGAATACTGGGTTTTGCGACCTGTCAACCGGTCAAAAATGCTGACATTTCTTGTCAATCTCAGAAAATAGTATATCCTCCAACGAGCATATTATAATAATAGCCATTATTTGCGAGTAGAAGACTATACTTTTCCGAACTTTTTGAAAGAAACTCATTAGTTTTTGTAAAAAATAACAATCATCAAAAGTCTTTTTTCTATGACCGTGCGTAAAGTACTCACTTTACGCACTATTCAGAAGACGTAAATTTTCACTTCACGCACTAGTGCGTAAAGTAATTCACTTCACGCACTGGTGCGTAAAGTAATGTCAATGACATATGTCGACACTGTCAATTTAATATTTTTCTGGTAAATAACTTCACGCACTGGTGCGTAAAGTGAAAATAATTCACGCACTAGTTCGTAAAGTATTTGTCTAAATCAATTTTTTTGCACATATTCGATTGGTAGTAGAAAAAATTTTGTATGCAATACGTGCGTAAAGCAACTTTTTTCACTCATGTGATTGTCGCACTTATGTTTCAATAGTTGCTAAGGAATGGATAACAATACGGGAATCACTTTTCCGGCCTAGGCCGGGAAAGTGATTCTCGTACTGCTGAATAATTGGAACAAAAAGGCAAACATTTAACAGATATTTAACCGATCGCAGAAAAAATAGTATGTGTATTTCGGTGGAAAAACACATTCTCGGCCTTCGGTGTTTGTCAACTTACACCGTCGGCCGAGAATTTGTCACTTTTCCACCTAAATACACAATTGTAACGTTGCCCTATTTTCCTGCATGTTCCGGTATTTCGAATTTCTCAGGCGCCACCCCTTTGTGATTTATAGCGTCAAAGGGGATCGCTGATATGCCTGCCAGGTAGCCTTTAAACAGTGAAGAAGATGGTGTTCCAAGGTTCAGTGCAAATAATACAACTTGTTTAATAAAATTAGTTAAATTTATTTTCACCCACTATGAAACACTAGCACTATACATTGTGACGGGAATGATAATAGTCATCCTATTCACGCCGGTTTTGAAAACAATAATTTCCACGCTAACGGTAACACTCTTTATCATGGTAACGTTATTTATCACGGTAAAGTAATTTGTCACGGTAACTTTATTTATTACGGTAACGCAATTTGTCACGGTAACGTTATTTCATTACGGCATGCTATTTACCATGGTATCGTTATTTATTAGAAATGTTCACGGTATGGGCGGATTTAGCTCCAGCTCCAAAATCCGAATGTCGAGAAATTTACAATAAACAGTCTAATAAGTAAACTCAGTTCGGAAATTTTCGGTAAAGAGGGATTGCATCTAGTGTAATAATTATTTTTAGTTATTTGAATTTGCCCAGCGCTGTATTTTGTAATTATTGTAAACCCGACCTTCAAAATAATTAAAGTACCGGATGACTAGAAAACCAGTTATGTCGGTAGACAGAAGATGATAGATCACTTTTGAAATAGGTAAAAAACTTCCCGTTTCATATTCCTTCTGCAGGCTGCGCTGGGGTGTCGTTATAGTTGAATTAACGAGGACTTCAATAAAACAGTAAAAACCGTTACGTGCCTTATTTGATTGGGAAACCCGGACTCAACAGTCGCATTTCGAAGAAATCTACAGTCTACAGTTTTCAGAAGTGGGATTCAGGATTCAAGCCATAGGATATTGCGAAAGTAGTGATTTATTATGGCGGACGACCAATTTGAAGACGCCGAAATGAGTGAATCGGCTCAAGAAAACAGAAGCCAGAGTCCAATTTCAGTGAATGATTTGGTTGAAGCAACGGTAAGAGCAATTTTATTGCATGAACAGGCTCGAAGACCTATCTCACCGCCCATTAAACACCATGAAAATAAATCCTTTTCAAACGCCGAAATAAGTGCTTTACTTCCTGATTTTACTGGCCAAGGAGATGTTGCAGTTTGGTTACAAAGAGTAGCTGCAGTACAGGACTGTTACCAAGTTCCGGACAAAACAATTCAATTAATTGCTGTTGGTAAATTGACTGGCCAAGCAAGGACCTGGTATCATTCAAAAGTTGAATTTATTACAATGACTTGGACTGATCTCAAAGAAGAAATGAAGAAAATGTTTTCATTTAGAGCAGACAGAGTCTCTTCAATGAAAAAATTTGAATCCCGTAAATGGAAAAGAGGCGAGAAATTCCCGATTTACTTCCACGAGAAAGTGGCTTTGGGCAACATTGTGGGAGTTTCCGAAGAAGATTTGATTGAATACATAATTGATGGATTTTTCAATGAAACATTACAATCTCAAGCCAGGATGCAGGACTTTAAGACATTGAGTGACTTATTACGAATTATGTCCAACGTTACTCAGTCAGAAAGATCTCAAACTCATTCAGTACCCAGTTATCCATCATCATCCAGGCTGCACCAAAAAGATGTTTTAATTGTTATGAGTCAGGACATTTTGCACATAAGTGTCCCAAGCCCAAAAGAGAAAGAGAAAGCTGTTTCCGTTGTGGTAAATCAAATCACCAAATCAAAGATTGTCCTGAAAACAAGAAGAGGCCGTCAGTGATGCCTGCTGATTTCACCACTACGATGGGTATTATTGAAAATCATTCGCCACAAGCTCAAGCAAAAGAGAATTCCTAGATATCAGAAGAAGCCTTAATGCGGTCAGTATCAAGTATGTATGAAATCCCAGTTCGATTTGAAGTACAAGATCAAGGTAACAGCTGTCAGGTTGTTGTGAATGCAATGCTTGACACTGGTAGTCCCATTAGTTTGATAAAAAGTAAACATTTACCACCACACTGTATCAATTTAAATTATGATTTTGAACAAAATTATGTTGGCATTAATAAATCTAGCTTAAATGTTTTAGGGCTTTATGAAGAAACTGTAATAATTAATGATTTAAAAGTGCCACTTAAGTTTTATGTTGTCAGTGACGATACAATGACTGTTCCGGCTATTTTGGGACGAGACTTTTTATCCTTACAAAATTTTAAAATTTCACTTAACAATAATAAACTTTGTCTAGAACCCTTTCAGCCTGAAAATTCTAATGAATTACTTTTTATTGAAATTGATCAAGATACAATACCTATTCTAAATATTAATCGAAACTTAGAACCAAAAATTATTTATAATTTTGAACAACAATTTTTTAATGAATATTTTTGTAAAGAGCGATTACATGAGCCAGAAATAAATTATGAAATGAAAATAGTATTGAAACATGAAATGCCGATTTCTTTTAGACCGAGAAAACTGTCTTTTTTGAGAAAAA